TATATTCTGAAAAATAACAAGAACGAAAATATGCCTGTAGTTTAGCTATATCACCATGCTTATTATGCCAGCCATCATAGCTTCTCGTGACTCACGGTGCTTTAGGAATTGCATTTTCCCCAGTAATGATTCATTTGGATTGATGGGAGACTGGAGTCCCAACTTAAAGTTTTGGAGTTTTAAACAGCTGTCCTCATTTCCACGCACTTAACTAGATCTAAAGTTGCCATTCTAGAAAAGGCACATATTATCATTAATCACAGTGTTTGCATCAAGTTTTTATAGTTTTTATTATGCTTTCACACACGATATTGAATGCTGTGGTTTTGAACCTTTGTTGCGTATTAGAATCCCTGGAAGCATTTAGAAAAAGCCAGCATGTCTAGGTTGCAACGTCCGAGTTCTGATTCCAGTCATTTAAGGTGAGGCCCAGGCATTGGAATTAGAGCTCCTCAGATGATTCTAATGAGTAGTCAGCAGTGAGAACCACTACGCTGACAGCTTCCCAACAAACACAGGACAAAACCCAAGGTCCCCACCATGACCCACAGGACTTACATGATCAATCTGAGTTCCCTGTCCCTTGTCCCTTGCTCACCACACTCCAGACAAAGGAGCCTCTTTGACATTCTCAAACATGCCAACCAAATTCCCATGTCAGGGAGTTTGCCATTCTTAGAACCCCTTCTGGAATGTTCTTCCCCTAGGCATTTGCCTGTCTTGCTCCCTTTCTCCATTCAGGTCTCTGCTCAAATGTCATCTCCTTAGAGAAGCCCTCCTTGAACACTCCAACTAAAATACCAGCCTTCACCACTCTGTCCTCTTACTCGGCTTATTTTTGCTTCATAGCACTTGAAGCACATAGCATCAACACGACATATATTTAAGTTTATCTAGCCTACATCAATGCCTTGGAAACAGTAGAAGCTTAATAAGTATTTCTGAACGAATAAAGAGTGGATGAGGATAGATGTAAAATAATGCAAACCCTGGTATGGAGCAAGTACTTGATAAATGCTTTTTTCCCCAACGCACATAAAGCCAGTTGCTGTCGCATGCAGCCTCGCGACATACGGAGGAACAGCGACCCCTGCTGGAATTTGCACCTGAGTCCCAGAGAGAATAAAAGTCCACTAATGCCAGTCGCAAGAAAGAAACTTAAATACTCAGTATCCGACGAAGCCTTCTGATGTGCATTCATGAAAACTTCCTAATGAGATATTTCTGACATTTACAAAGGCCTTTACTTGGCACATTTCCCTAAGCATGTTCTCTTCTGCCATCTTGTGGCCAAGATGGGGAACCTCCATACAGTTTGCAACGACCTCACTTAGTCAAAAGGAAAATCCTGGGCTGCTGAATGAGCTTGCCTAGAGTCATTTTCTAAAAACACCTGTGGTCATTTGACCAAACCCGGCACTACCCAGCTTCTTGGGCTTCCATTTTTTATAAACATGAAACAACAGAGGTGACTGTCTCGTTTGGTGGCTTCTGCCGCAGGGACAGCTGAGAGCAGTGCCTGAGGGCCACCTCCCCAGAACCCAACTGTGCCTGAACTTTGTCCTCCCATTCTGACACAGCCCCCATTGTTAACTAGCCACAGCTAGACCCTGATGATTTGGTCTGGGCACTCGATAAATACCTGTGAACTCCATGAGGGCAGGCTTTTTCTATTTTGTACCCCGGTATATTAAACCACATTTAGCACACAGCAGGTTACTAAATATGTAGTCGTTGAAGGAATGAAATAATAATTGCTAGCACTTATAGAGCACTGCCACATCTCATGCACTTTACAGACACCAGCTCACAAATTAGGGTGACCGATTCGTCCCTGTTTGCCCAGGACCATCCAGGGAACTCGTTCAGTCCCTGACTAACAGGGACAGGTGGTACCTGTATTTGTCAGCTCAGGCTGCCATAACAATATACCATAGACTGGAGGGCTTAAACAACACAACAGAAGTTAATTTTCTTACAGTTCTGGAGGCTAGAAGTCCAAGGTCAAGATGTCATCAGCGTTGGTTTCTGGTGAGACCGCTCTTCCTGGCTTGTAGACTGGTGCCCTTCTCACTGAAGGGAGAAGGGAGAGATTTCCTCTTCTTTTAAAGGCACTAACTCCATCATGAGGGCTTACTTCACCCCTGGGATGCCAGCTGTAGGTCCTTACTTCTTATTGGAAACACGTGGGTTGTGCCTTTTAGCAACGGGGTGGGACATTCAGGGATACCTTATTTTATTGTGCTTCACAGATGTTGTCGTTTTTACAAATTGAAGGCAAGACCCTCCACCAGCAAAAAGATTACGACTCGCTTTATTGTAACACATGTTTTATTGCAGTGGCCTGAAACCAAACCCACAACAGCTCCAAGGTATGCCTGCACTAAGTATTCTTTCCAGGCTTGTAAACCAAGCCAAGGACCCCAAGTTAAGACTCACGGCTTAACTGAAGTTTAGCCCCTGGAGGTTGGTCTCACCGAAGACTAAAATCCTGGCTGAACAGCAGGGGGCAGCAGAGAACGACATCTCTGTCCAAAGGTATACAGCTTAGGGAAAGGCTCTTGGCATCTTTTGCTGGCAACTGCAAAGCTGGGGAAACCTGTCAAACAGAGCTTTTTGACAGATGGCCTATACTTCCCTCCTCTCTTTTATGTGGTGATGGGGGACAGAGAACATTTTAGAAGCTCTTTATAAAATGGAAGCTGCTAAAAAAAATACTCCATTGTGGGATGGGAATAATGATAGTAATAATTATTCCTTGTAGTAATAATAATCATTAATCCTTGCGACTTCATATAGTAGAGTGCTTAACATGCTGTCTGCACATATTCAGTGTCCAATAAATGTTAACTACTGTTGTTTGTCATAAAAAAAAATGAGGCTTCAAAAAATTTCCAGAATGCATGACAAAAAACCTATGGCTACAATGGTCAATAAAAATCAAACTTGAACATACACTTAATAAAACAATTTTATAAAGTCTAAGATAGATCACAAAATAAATATTTTACTACCCTGAAAGAAATAAAGGACGTCTACAAGATAAAAAATATATATATATAGAAATGCGGAAACAAAACAAAAATAGTTTGATATGAAAAAGATTCATATACACATTATAAACAAACACTTCTCAAAATAGTGCAGATTTTTGTTATATGTGATGAAGTCCTGCTATTTTCAAAAAAAGCATTTCCGCTCCCCTACCCCATGCTGATTTGTACTTTAATAGTCAACCAGTCTTTAATGTCAGTGTACTATTTTGGTTATATACTGATCAGCCCAGAGCTTAGAGAAAGGTTTAAAGCACAAAAAAATGGGGACCAAGGGAAGGGCAGAAGACCAGAGGTTGTTGATGGCCTCATGCATCCCCTCCGCCACTCCTGCCACATGACAATTGCCATTTACTATCTCACATCTAGAACACCCAAGTTGACACCCATCAGTCTTAATTATGTTTGGAAGAAGTGGTCAAATAGCCAGAGGGAAGTTAGCTTTGAAAACGGACCGCTAATGAGCAAAGCACCCCATATCATATCATTTAAAGGCCAATGAAGATGATGTAGGAGTCCTTTCTGTCCACATGCAAAGGGATCTAGTGTTAGATAGAGGGGTGGGCCTTAATTCAAGTATTTGGAAGTCTGTTGTGCGTCAGACGCTGTCAAACAAAGGATTTGTAAGACCTCAGAATGTCTAGCGTTCTCTGTTTTGTAGAAGAAAATGAGATCTAAAATGTCCAGAGTGGCCCAAAGTTACCCAGAGAGTTAGGACTAGAATATCTTTTGAGGATTTAGAATTAGTTTTCTTTTGGTTATTCACAAAAGAAGGGTAATGAAAGCTGAGTGTCCATCATTATAACTACTGATTCCCCCCATCAAAGGCCTAAGGTAGAAGTTAGAGGGTAGAAATGATCAGAGAGGCGAAATTATATAGCTAGTCTTTCACACAAGTTTATTAATTAGGCTCATTCAAATCATTACTGAATGTGCAGTTCTCTGCCTCTTCCATCTCACTCCTCATAGCCCAAGAGGTTGAAAACATTTATTTGACACGTAGAGGACTACCATGTTCTGGAGACTAAACATAGAACAGGGTACACACAGAGCTTTCAGTCAAGGAAAAGCTTGGTAGTTAGGATACACTGAGGGATGTGTGATGGGAGAGAGCAGAGGAGAGACACAGCCTAACGTGGGGGGATGGGGACAGGGAAACTCTTGGAGGAAGTGGCCCGAATCCTGAAAACGATGAGGACTGAGCCAGGTGGACAGGGTGGGTGAGCAGTGGGTAGAGAATGGATGTCTCAGGACCTGATTTTTCTTTTGTCTTTGATTTGGAAGTGAGAACTTGATGCATTCCAGGAACTAGAAAAACTCAATGTTGGTTGGATCAGAGTGAGCAGAGAGAAAGAAGAGATGTCCAGAGGAAAAAGAGCCTCAGAGGCCTCAGTTAAGAAATGAGCCCTTGATCCTGATGGTGGAGAAGGTCTTTGGCAAGGTTTGATCATCACATTTGCGTTTCTCACTCTGGACTTTGAGTACTCTCTTTCATTGACAAGCTTGTGCATGAAGCATCTCAGAGGTCCAACATGGGCCCTTTCTAGCAGTTCAAGAACCGGTTCCAACATTCAGAGCTGTGCACAAATATGTCTAACAACAGTTGCTTGTTTTTATAAGAGCACCCAAGTAGACTCATTCTGGGTCTGAAACCTGGGAATGGTTAAATGATAAATATAGTGTTTGGAATTGTTTGGAAGAATTTTTATTCAGGAAGAAAATGCTCGTGAGCATTAAAAAAACATTTTGAGATGGTATATAACTATACACACAGAAAGATCCTAGTAATAAAAAAGAAGTGTAGCTATATATATACTACATCTGGGGAAAAGAGGACCAGGAAGAAACAAACCTCGATATTTCATGTTCCTAGAAGTTATTATATGTGGGTTTCTTTTGTTCATGCTTTCATCAACTTCTGATGAAATTTTAATAAGCATGCACAGATTTAATAGCTAGGAAACACGTTAAGGATTTCTTACCTTACCCAAAAACACACAGACACTTATGCTTAAGAACGGGAATTTATTTCATATTATTAAAACTCCAAAAATAATTACTGGCTTTTACCTGAGTGGTCTTTTGAGTTACACATAATTTAAAAAGAGATAGGGACTGGAAAAACAAAACAAAAAACAAAAAGTAAAGGTATTAGCTAATACTAGCTGGTACTTTATTATGTATCATCTGAAAGCCTATAAATTCACTTCCACATTGTTTCCTGCTTCGTTTAAGATTGTTTCACAGAGTGTTAGAATGCAAACAATATAAAACTTGGTCAACCTTTAAAAAATTGTTAGTCCAAAATAACTTCATTTGTGTGGTAGGAAAGGAGTTAAATGCAGGGTATGCACCATTGTAAATGTGTGTGTGTGTGTGTGTGTGTGTGTGTGTGTGTGTGTACGCTCACACATGCACACACGTCCGCATGCATGCATACTTTAAATAAGATTTCTCTTTAAAAAAAATAAGATTTCTCCTAGAATTTTAGTTTGCTTCTAAGCAACTGTTGGTGGTTGCTTATAAAATTGCTTTCTTGGTGTGGTTTACAGTTCTGAAGTCTTTCCCATTGGGGGCCATCCAACAGTGTCCTGCCCCCTGGGGAAAGAAGTGAGGGCATAGTCTGGGCCCAGTCCATCCTCCACTTGCTTGCTGACATTCACATCTGTGTCTGTGAGACGGGATCTATTTTGCCATATGGGGTTTCCAGGTTCTTTTTCTTTTCATCCTCATCAAACTGAGCTTCAATCTCTGCTGGATTGATGTAAGTATAGAATCGAGCCATGATGGCAAAGATGATGCAAACAACCAGCAGCAACGCAGCAAACAGAATGTACTCGGCCCACTTTGAAGGAATTGGAGTTGGAGCAAGAAAGAAACAAAAACAATACCAGTTATAGTAGTGTATCTAGCACGTGTATATTTCTTGCTGTGTCCAGATGGACGGTGCTTTGAAAATAAATTGTTATAGAAAATTGGTAGGCTCCTGCCATAGATATAGAATGGTCAATTATGGCCACAAATACTGAAGGGTCAGCTTATCTTGAGTGCTCAAGTGTAAAGATAACATTTTTCTAATAGCACCGGAACGCAGAAACACAAGACTTTGGGAAGATGAGAGAAAATTTCTGAAAAACCCAAGTCTCAAGGCACGTAGCTGGCCCCTGGAAGGACGGGCACCAGGGAAACACCAGGCAGTGCTCTTGAAAGAAAAAGGATGTGCTGGACAGTTTGAAGTCGAGACCCCCATGTTATCCCTTCGCAGTACCTTGAGGTCATGAGCACACAGCTCTGAGGGGACCCGGTAGGGGAAGTGATGAAATTCATGGGGTGGGGTAAGGGACAACTCCCTTCTGAAGCAGATGTACTCATGTGCTGAAGGGAAGAGTTTAAGTATCATAAAAAGCCGCCACTTAATTTTAGCTGGAAAAATTACAACAACCTTTAGCATGGCTTTAACTTTAGGTCTTATGACAGTTTCTGGATCACATGTGTGGTTTGGGGCCATTACGTTGCATTCACAGAGGCTAGGAAAGATCTTTTCTTTGCTAGTAAGCCACATTACGGGATATGTATGTTAGTCCAACCTGGTTATTTTGGTTGCCAACTTCCAACTGTAAAACATTCAGTGCAAATAAGAAGAATAAGCAAATGCTGGACCATGAGACCATTTGGTAGCTGTCCTGTTTGGCTGGTCTGGCAGTTTTATTCATCCACTAGCTGAGATGACCATGTATATGTAGGTGGCTAGGGAGGGCCATCATGATGACCGTTAATGGATAAGACAGTGGTATCTATGATCTCCTTTTCCATCCCGTACCTGTTCACTGAACTGGCCTGCTCCTGCCACGATAAGCACGATGATGTTGCCAACTGCCACTGTCAACAGCCATCCTGCTTGAAGCACTGACTTCATGTTGGAAGGAGCCTGAGGACGCAAAGCAAAGAGAATTCCAGTCTAGATCTCAGCCTTAGCAGGGGAATACAACTCATGGATGCCTTTAATTAAGCAGTCTACCCTAAAAATGTACATTAAAAGTCAGGCTGGTTTAAATGTAACAGGGATAATCACTTGGACAGCAAGATACCCCAAATGCTCAAGTTGCAAGAACATAACAAGGATCCCTTGTTTTACATTCTTCACATACTTGCAAAGTTGCCATCCTAGTTAAATAGACAAATCTACAGGTGAACAGATTCTATTTCTACAGAGGAGTGTCCAAGCAAAGCCATCCAGCATGATACCTTCTTCCACCCACATGGAGGCTGCTCTCTGAGCTGTGAGTTTCCCTGCTATGTAACCAAAACCCCTCTTCAAACTCTTGTCACCTGTGTTATTTATAGTCACCTCCTTTATTAACAGTGTGAGGTCACCACAGAAAGGGATTATCTGGCTCATATTTACAATCTCTACTGCAAAACTTGAAGGTACTAGATATTGTGGGCAAACAATTACTATAATTGTAGTTTTGATCAAATCATTCAGAAATTAATAAGTCAGGTATTTGCAAAATTTGCCTCATTGATATAATATACATAAAAGCAATAATATATATTTTTTTATCTTTTGAAAGCTAGGCCTTAATCAGTGTGTTTACTGGGAGCTACAGAGAGACCTCAACTGAACCTTAAAGATAATGAGGACAAAGACCTGGAAATGAGCACTGTTATGAATTGTTGATACCATATGGTGTTTTCAGAAAGCAGAGTCTACTGGCTATCATGACCGTGCTAACAGTCATTAATACGGTTTTTCCTACTTGGAACTACAAACCTCTGTGTATGACTGTGGGAATATAGACACATATGATATATGCACTCACAAAGCTAAAGAGTAATATTCTTAGTCAATAAAGAAAAGACTTGGTGATCTCAAAAACCTTGTCTGGTGGAATATGCCATAATGCTTTCTAGAATTATTTTAAACTATAAATATATGGCCACCCCAGATTTACATGAAGTCCCAGCAGCATTTTTGAAGGCAGGGGTATAGGGAAAGGGTGGTAAAAGCAATGAACAAGAAACCTGAGAATATGAGAACTCCAGTCCAGTAACAGAGAAAACCACCTCGCCACAGGTCATGAGGAAATACTGTGGGATTTGCAGAGCCATGTTAATTGTGTTCGGTGAAATATCTTGAAATTCTTTCTCTTTAGGGCAGCCATCCTAAACCAGTAAGGCAAAAATTAAAATCAAGATTGCTTCTAAAATAAAAATTGCTCAAACAGGCAAATTGAGTTTGGACTTCTAGGGTTGTGTCAAGTACACATTTGCAATGTAAATACACAACACTGCTTTTTATACTCGTGATGAGATGGCCTTGGTGGGATTTGAAAATATGTTCACTGGTGTTTTCCTCTTAAATAATAGAGGAGATTGGAAGTGAGGCTTGTTTAAAACATTGCCATCTCTTTAAACTAAAAGTGTCAGATACTGGTCAACATGAACTTTTAGTAAGAGTAAGTCAGTCTGTTCAATTTTCGTCTAATGGTGAACTTAAGTCAGTTGTAAGTTAAAGAACTGGTGATGAATTGAATTAATTCTAAACTCATTTAAAATACAGATGCTAATACTTCTGTAGTTAAATCATTACTATGTCCTAAGTGTGTGCGAGGACTCAGATTGGGAAAGTTGGAGTAGAACTTCTGATATGATGGAATGAGTTACTAACCTGTGTTCTGATTACATAGGTATATGCACTACCGAATCCAAGCTCTGTTTTAAAAGATTTTTTACAGTTTTCTGGAATCCCTGCTGAGATTAGTGTGAAGTTTTTTCTATGAAAAAAAGAATAATACAGGTTAGCATTCTTGGTATTAAACGCTTCAATGAATTGTTTAAAGAAAAAGATTTGAAATCCATGAAATTTGGAACAAAGGGTCCAGTATAGATACTTACTCGCCAGAAGGTAAGAGCTGATACTTGCTGGCGTTGTTACTGGTGATATCTGTATAATTTTTCCCATCCACTGTGATGCTGAGGCTGTAGTTCAAAGCATTTACAAATCTGAAACAGAAAACCATGTACCTTGTGACTGGACTAGGAAATGATTTGTTTGAGGTCATAGTATGTACACCTGAAGTTGGTCTATGCTCCATATTGGAAGGAATTTAAGATGTTTACAGAATATTTTTAGAGTAAAAGCAGAAAGTAAGCAATTATGCCCTTGCTTACCTGCTCATGAAAACATACCTAAAATAATTTTTTTTAAACACCGTTAAATGCCAGGAACTATTCTAAGTACTTTGTAACTAGGAACTTGAATTTCAATGATGTTTTTTGGAATATCAAGTATGTACTGAAATAGGTGATGATTCCTTTCCCTTCAAGAAGTCAGCCATGCCTTTGTGTTTCTTGCTTCAGAACCTTTAGAGCTAAAGTGGTGAAGGACCAAAAGCAGAAGCTGCTGCTAAGAACCTAAAAGACAGCTTCCAACTGGGGCTTCTTTTTGGGGTTTGGGCAGGGAAGCCCATTACTTTCCTTTTACCTCTAAAGAGGAGCCTGAGGCAGGAGGGGCTCCAGGGGATGGAGAGGAAGAAGTGACCAGCCCAGCAATCAGAAACAGTTTTGGGGAATGCCCCTCAGGGAGGGAATACCTGTGCCTGCAAGTCCTGAAGTGACAGTGACTGGCACCTCGCTGGAATACAGCTAGAAATGGAACACCCAATAAGACTGGGTGCACAGTCCCAAGATTTCACCCTGTGCTCAAGCTTCACGTGGAGCTAGCTGAGTTGTGTGGGCAGATGATTAGAGACCCATTCCTTAAATGTTCCAGGCTAGAGAAGACCCTGACACTCTTACAAAGTCTGACAATTAAGTTCGCAGACTCATCCTAGAAAAAGTCCTCCATACCTCGTTGCTGAATATCACTACCATCACCTTCAAAGTACTCCCCTTGGAAAGCTATGGACCGATGCCAGCACCTAGTCCACTCTTCAAAGCAATTTTGGAACTTTTTTTCTGGAATGGACATCAGAGCTGTTGTCATGTTACCCTTGATGTCCTGAATGTCATCAAAATGTCTTCCTTTCAATATTTCCTTTATCTTTGGGTAAAGAAAGAAGTCATTGGGGGCCAGATCAAGTGAGTAGGGAAGGTGTTCCAATACAGTTATTTGTTTACTGGCTAAAAACTCCCTCACAGACAGTGCCGTGTGATCTGATGCATTGTCGTGATGCAACAGCTATGAATTGTTGGAGAAAAGTTCAGGTCATTTTTGTCTAACTTTTTCACACAATCTTTTCAGCACTTCCAAATAGTAAACTTGGTTAACTGTTTGTCCAGTTGGTACAAATTCATAATGAATAATCCCTCTCACATCAAAAAAGGGCAGCAACATCGTTTTGACCCTTGATTTGGTCTGACAGAGTTTTTTCGATCATGGAGAATTGGCTGACTTCCATTGTGCACTTCGATGCTTTGTTTCAGGGTCATATTGGTACACCCATGTTTCATCACTAGTGATAACATGGTGCAAAACATCGTCTTGCCTCTCCAAAAGGTCTTGGCAAACTTCAGCTCTCCTTTGTTTTTGTTCATTGGTGAGCTCCTTTGGGACCATTTTTGCACACACCTTTCTCATGCCAAGATTTTCAGTTAAGATTTTCCTGTTTCTCTATCGATGTTCACTTGGTCTACTGTGCTTCACAGTCAGCTGATGATTTTGACACACAATTTGACAAATTTTTGCAATGTTTTCATCAGTTCTGCTCGTTACTGGCTGCCCTGATCCTCTCTTCATCAGTGACGCTTTCTCACTCCTCAGAAAAATGTTTAATCCACTTGTATGCTGCCATTTTCTTCATGGCATTATCCCCATAAGGTTGGACTAACATGTCCCTAATTTCACTTCCACTCTTGCCAAGTTTAACAAGAAACTTAATGTTTGTTCATTGCTCTAATTTAAGCTCAGACATTCTCCTGGCGGCACATGAAAAATGCAACAATAATGAACACCATCCAGCAAGACACCGCCACACATCGACACGAACACAGCTGTGAGACACTGATATACTAAGGTTATGGAACCTTACCAAGCTGTTTGTACAGTGCTGCCAATGTAAGCGCACGGTGGCAAGTTCGCGAACTTAATTGTCAGAACTCGTGAACTACCCCAGGGAGAAGAAGGGTGCTGCCCAAAATAAGACCAGTTGATTTTTCCTGCCAGATAGGTGAGCGAATGTTTACAGCAGATTATCCAATTTAGAGAATGGGAAGTAATAATAGTGTACACCCAGGTATAACAAAGAATAATTTAACTTCTACATCCTTAAAATATGTGGACAAGTTTCATCAACATTGTGGCAACAAGTTAATACTGGTCAAATTCTAGGGACTGGGAGAACATTTCTATGAATTAAACTCAGGTCCTGATTTTAGGCATTCAACTTAGCATTCAACTTTCTATGATTAACATAGAAAACTGAACCTGACCTGAGTCAATAGGAGCCTAATAGGTGAATTAATACTGCTCCAAACTACAAAAACTAGTTTTATCAATGATTGAGATGAACCATTCAAAAGAAAAGTAGGCAGAGTATGAAGTTAGGAAGTTGGCCCTTGGTCCTGGGTCCTGACTTTATAACTTATAAGACTGAATAAATCCCACTCTAAGATTAGAGTACTATCACCTGCCTGACATTTGTCTCAGGCTGGTACAAGATTCCAAAAAGAATGATAATAATCTGAAAAAACGCAACATCACACATATCAGATGCACACATAGAAAATAATGAAGCATAAGCAGCAAGCACACTCTGCTTTGAAGGGTCAGGAGAGCAGAGATCTAAGATCTATTGTGCTCGAATAGTTTTCATCAGGCACAGTCCTAGAGTCCCATTAAGGCTCAAGGTAGCATAGGCCTCTTAGGAGTACCAAGATCTAAGGCTACAAAGTGATCATGGAATGAGATATGGAGAATGGGAGTTAGCTGAGAAAACGGCAAGATGGGACCAGGTCTTTAAAGAATAACCAAGGGGCTGAGAGTCGTTCCTTCAAATTAAAAAAAAAAAAATGGCTTTGTGAGATAAATTCACATACCACAAAATTCATCCATTTAAAGTGTACAATTTAGTGGTTTTAGTGTGTGCACAGGGTTGTGCAACCATCACCATAATCTAATTCTCATCACTCCGAAAAGAAACTTGATACCCATTAGCAGTGACTCGCCATGCCCCATCCCCTCAGTCCCTGGAAACCACTAATCTGCTCTGTCTCTATGGATTTGCCTGCCATTTCATGTCTGGCTTCTTTCCCTTAGCATAATGTTTTTAAGGTGCACTCATGTTATAGCATATATCAGTAGGTACTTCATTCTTTTTTATGGCTGAATAATATTTCATTGTATGGGTAGGCCCTAGTTTGTTTATCAGTTGATAAACATTTTAGTTGTTTCCACATTTTGTCTATTTTGAATAATGCTGCCATGAACATTCATCTACAAGTTTTTGGATAGACATATGTTTTTCATTTTTGGGGGGTATATACCTAGGAGTGAGATTGCTGGATCATATGGTAACTCTATGTTTAACATTTTGAGGAATAGTTTTTCAAAGTGGTTGCATGATTTTACATTTCCACCAGCAGTTTATAAGGATTCTAATTTATCCACATCCTCACCAACTCTTGTTATTGTCTGTTTTAAAATTAGAGCCTAGTGAGTGTGAAGCAGTATCTCATTGTGGTTTTGATTTTTTATTAGTCAGATCATAGTCATCCTAATGACTAATGACACTGAGAACCTTTTCCAGTGTTTTTTGGTCATTTGTATAATCTCTTTGGAAAAATGTCAATTCAAACACTTTGCCCCTTAAAAAAAATTGGGTTATTTGTCCTTTTATTATTGATTTGTAAGAATTTTTTATATATTCAGAATATGTCTCATCAGATACATGATTTGAAAATATTTTCTTTCATTCTGTGAGTTGTCTTTTTACTTTCCTGATGACATCACTTGTAGCACAAAAGTTTTCAATTTTGATGAAGCCCAAGTTATTATTATTTTCTATTGTTGCTTGTGCTTTTGGTTTCATATCTAAGAAGCCATTTCCTAACCCAAGGTCACAAAGATTTACTCCTATTATTCTTCTACAAATTTTATTGTTTTTGTTATAGTAGGTCTATGATCCATTGAGCTAAGTTTTGTGTATGGCATCAGGTAGAGAAGGTCTAACTTTAGTCTTTTGCATGTGGATTTCTAGTTGTTTCAGCACCATTTGTTAAAACTCAATTTTTTAAATGAAGGGTTTTGTTTTGTTTTGTATTTAAATTTACTTATGACCAATTATGCCTCACTGTCACTTCCTCCTGAAAGTATCATATCATTATCAGTATGATAGTCATGAAAACCAGGATTGAAATAAACTGAACTTACAACCAGGACTCTGCATAGCTTTTTTCAAATCTTAAATTGAGATTTTTTTTTTTAGAAACTCATGAAGCATACAATCACATTATCTATACTAATGATTTTTGTACCCATAATGAATAAAAATATTCAGTAAAATATTGTTTTTTACTTTTCTCACCCTTTTTATATTTGTTTCTTGTGTTACTTATCATGCACATATTTGGTACAATAGTTTATATATAATTTATAAAGGAGGCCATATTTATAGTGGGTGCATGCTCAGAATGTTTTTATTGAATGTAATAAAAAGTCTAAAGACCACTGCCCTTGAGAAACTTCTCACATGTGGACAAAGAAACATATATGAATGTGGGTTGTGGAATTGTTTGGAAAAATGAGAATAACCTAAGTTTCCTTGAATAGAGAAATGGATAAATAAATAGTGGTATATCCATGCAATGGAATATTATATAGTGGTTTAAGTGCATACATATGGGATATATATGTCAATATAGCTAAAATTAAAATAATATTTTATATTATTTATATTATTGTAGAATGATATATACACAGGACAATAACATATTGTTTAAAAACATGCTCAAAATTATTTATAGATACATATGTATGTAATAATATATAATGTTAGAAATGCATGAGAGGGCTGGCCGAGTGGCACGTTGGTTAGGAGTTGGCTTAGGACGCCAGCTCTGAGCAGCAGGGCCCTGGTTCGGATCCCACATGAGGGTCAGTAACACTGCACCCTCTACATCTAAGATGCTGAACAACAGCTCGACCTGGAGCTGGGCTGCCGTGAGTCACCAGCAACAGCGTAGGCTGCAATAGGCCTGGCCGGCAGTGGGCGTGCGCTTTTGTGAGCTGCCCTGAGCCACCGTGAGTGGCTGTCCAATGGCCGGCAAGCGACTGCCTCACTCGGGAAGAGCATAATGATAATACCAACATGGGTCAGTGAAGCAACGTCCTCCACAACTAGACTGAAGCACAAAAGGACAACAACTTATCTGTTCCCCTTCCCTGATTCCCTAATACTGTTCCCTTCCCCCAATTCCCGAATAAAATCTTTAAAAAAAAATGCATGAGAAAGATTAATATTGAATTCTTGATCCATGCCTTTTGAGCCTTTTGAGCCATGCTTTTGCTCAGGCCCGCTCCTAGCTCTTTGGAGTGTACTTTCTCTGCTAATAAACTTTTCTTTCACCACTTAAAAAAAAAGAAAAATTCTCAATCAATTTTTGACTGAAGTATTGCCACCTTATTTAAAAGACTCTATTTAGGGTAGTTTATTTAAGTCTTGCAACTTACCGATACCACATAATTAAAAGGATACCATTTTGCTTAAAATTCTGTGTATTCTTTCTTTAATTCACACATTACTCAGAAATCTGACTTCCTGAAATTCTTGAAGTTGTTCTATTTATCAGTTAGTTTCTGAATAGTTGTTCAGAACTTCTCTTTTCTTATGGGTTGTCTCCTGGACATTACTAATAATAAAGCCTTGGATCTATTAAGAATTTGATGTTGCAATTAAAAGAAAAAAGTTTTTGATGTATCTTTTATTTTTTGGGTGGGCTGGTGGGGTAGTGTTGCTATTTCATGGGTACTTCTTTTCCAAGATCTCAACAAAGACAATTAAAAAAAACAAAAAATGGAGCTTTAACAGCACCAGAACAAGAGAAGATACCACAATTTAAATTGTCCAAAGTTTCCAAAGTTAGGAGACATTTCTGAAGAAATCAAAACAATGAATTCTGAGGCACAAAAGAATACTATGAGGCATAGAGGAAATCCCAGAGGCACTTACAGCTCAGAATCAAATACAAAGATCAGGAAAGGGCCAGGTGACCAATATCAGAGAATTTCCTTCCAGATCCACTAGGGCAGTTGTGTTATGTGCATGTGTGTGGGACAGAGCAACAATCCAGAAGACACAAAAGAAGATGTGTGTGGACTGAATTGTGTCCTCACCCCCCAAATTCACATGTTGAAATCCGAACCCTCAGTACTTCAGAATATGGCTGTATTTGGAGATAGGGTCTTTAAAGAGATAAAATAAAGTCACTAGGGTGAACCTTAATCTATTTAGTATTGTCAGTTTTAAAAAAATATTATAGCCATCCAATAGTCATTATAGTCATGAAACTCATGGTGGTTTTAATTTATATTTCCTGAATGGCCAATAGTGTTGAATGTCTTTTCATGTGTTTATTTGCCATTTGTATATCTTCTTTGGTGAAATGTCCATTAAAATCTTTTGCTGTGTTTTTTTTTTAAACTAGATTATTTTCTGATTATTGAGTTTTGAGAGTAATTATATACTCTGGATACAAATTCTTTGTCAGATATGTGATTTGTAAATATTTTCTACCAGTGTGTAGCTTAGCCTTTATTCTCTTCACAGTGAGATTTATAAAACAAATGTCTTTAGTTTGGATGAAATCTAATTTATCAATATTTTCATACTTTTAAAAATAATATTGTGTATATATAATGCAACTATATATACAATAGAATATTACTCAGCCACAAAAAAGAAGGCAATCCTGCCATTGTGACAACATGGATAGACCTAGAGGACATTATGCTAAGTGCAATAAGCCACACAGAGAAAGACAGGTACTGTATGGTATCACTTAATATACAATCTAAAAAAAAAAAAGTTGAACTCATAGAAATAGAGAGTAGAATGGTGGTTGCCAGGGACCGGGTGGATGGGAAATAGGGAGGTGTGGATTGAAGAGTGCAAACTTTCAGTGCTAAGATGAATAAGTTCTAAGGATTTAATGTACAACATGGTGACTATAGTTAATAATACTGTATTGTATAGTTGAAATCTGCTAACAGATTAGATCTTAAACATTCTTAGCACAAAAAAAGGAAACTGTGAGATGATAGATGTGTTAACTTGATTGTGGTAAATACTTCACAATGTATAAACATATTTAATCATCATTTTGTACACTTTAAATATATACAACATTGTCAGTTATAACTTAATAAAACTGGAAAAATCATAAACAAAAAATAATGCTATCATTTTGATAAGAACTGCACTAAACCCATAGATCAATTTGGGGAGAATTGACATCTTTACCATATTAAGTCTTCCAATCAATGAACCCAGAATATCTCTCCATTTATTTGCCTTGTTATTGATTTCTTTCATAAGCCTCTTGTAGTTTCAATTCACAAATCCTGTATATATTTTATTAGACTTATAACTAGCATTTCATTTTTGGGGGGAAGCTATTGTAAATGCTATTTAAAGTTTCAGTTTCCAATCATTCATTGCTAGTGTATAAAAGTATAATCTTTGTTTTGTTGTTGGCCTTGTTTATATCGTATACCCTTTTTAAACTTACTTATTGATTCTATGAGCTTTTTTGTAGAGTCCTTGGGACACTCTATGCAGATAATTATGTCATCTGTGAGTAGGCATAGTTTTATTTCTTCCTTTTCAATCTAGATACTTTTACTTCTTTTTTTTTTTTAAATTGGGAAATTTGGGGAGGGGAACAGTGTTGGGGAATTGGGGAAGGGGACCAGCCAAGTTGTTGTTCTTCAATCTTAGTTGTGGAGGGCGCCAGTCGCCATCTGGCTGCCCATTGGCAGCTTGTGGCCTCTAAGCTCAAGGTGCTGTGTTCAATCTTAGTTGCGGGTGGGCATAGCCACCATCCCATGTGGGAGTCGAACCCAGCAGCCTTGTTTTTAAGAGTGTGCTCTATCCACTGAGCCA